AGGGGTACATATTATGGGAGGTATTTGTGTCGCCCATCGCCGGTCCCAAAGTGAAGTCTATGAGCTCTCGTGTCACGGGGTCTGTCGGGTCCACAAAGGGGGTCATTGTTTGTGTTCCCGATTTGGTATCGCTATTGTATTCAAACATTGCGAATATATAGCGGCCTAACGATCGATACGCGTGACTACTCTTGCCGTGTATTATCACTTTGTAATATCCGAGATTTACCCGCGACTCAACTGAATACCCGGTCACCCGATGTCTGGTATCTAAACATATTTAGTGCGAGTATAAATATTTGGTAAATTATTTTTAAAAGTATTTTTTGAATTTCATTAAAATTTTTAACATAATTACCAAAATATATGGCCAACAGTTGAGTGACATGTCTATCAAATACAAAAACCCTATTTTTCGAACTAAAGTAATAGAAATAACGGCCCGTTTGATGGTATAGATCGGGACCGATATTGAAGACACTCTGGCGGCTGTCGTACCCTCTCTTCATCGGACAGACGTCTTCCCAATAATTACTGGTCACTGAATATATTAAGCCATTCGCCGGACATGAAAAAATTTCGTCCCATAAATAGTCATCACTGGGTTGTAACTAATATTAAAATTATTATTTTAAAAAATTGTCTATTAATTTGTAATTAATTAAAATTCTAATTAACAAAATCTACTGTATATACCAGTGGCTCATGACTTAATGTTTGATTGATTGCATAAACTATTGGATGTGTTTTTAAATCCGTCGACACTGAGACCATAACTCTATCATTATATGTGAAAATTGCGGTAATATTTGTTTGGTTTTGCAATTGATATTCATTTTGTGTAACACTTATAATAGGCGTAATGTCCATGAATTGCTCGTATTGGATGTTCACATCCCAAGTGATTGTATAGAAGTGTTGTATATTATCGATGGGTGAGAGCGTCGATACGACCACAGTGTTTGTCTCGTAGTCCTCCAAATAAGACGTGATGCCCACAAACTCTTCATTAATTCCTATATATTTGTTCACTTCATCGGCAAATAGTTGACAGAAATAGTAATATTTGTGTTCAGACTCTGTACTCAAGTACGACCGCAAGCCATTGGGTGTCAATACAAATGGAAACACTTTAAGACCTCTCTTTGAAAATGTGTTGTATTTATTGATGGGATGAGTGAATGCAAACAAACACACGTTTGAATGGTATTTGGACTCTACAAATGCGGCCACACATCCGACCACATCGAGGCTATTCTTATCGTAAAAATGGCAAAAGTTGTCTGAAATAAATTCCCACGACTTGTAGTGAAAGGCATACACTTTTTGACTGAAATCTATTGCAAAATGAGTTAAACTTATTAATTATGTATTTTTAAAATAAAATTAACAAATGCATAGCGATTACAGACCAATCTTGGCGTCATAATAGAGCACATTTGCGAAATGTGTGTCCAAAACAATGTTGTGAAGTGAATCTAACGATTGAAATCCATTTGGAAATGATTTCCGATTAAAACCTCCTGTAAATTGTCGCCAAAAACTAGAATTTTTCTGATAGTAAACATCGGATCCCAAACTGAAGACACTATCAAAACGATATGCCTGTCGGCAGACATCAAACGGTGCGAACGGTTCCGGCCTTTCATTGCATCGAAGAAAATGCGAAAATATAACATTCTTTCGGTTTGAAAATCAAAATCAAATATTAATATCAATTTTACTAAACAATCGTATATTAAATAATTACAAAATTACAATTATAACAAAATTGTTACCTTAATCGTTACGGTAATTTGTGTAAAATTGTTTATGGTTCCAATTTTGTATAAAAATTTTTTAAACAAACACTTGTCGTCACACATATAGACATTGGATATACCGGGAAATGTCAGAAGTACTCGCTTTTTATCGTAAATGAAGTCCACTGAAATGGTCTTATTATATGGATATGCCTTATAATAAAACAGTGTATTTATAGGGTTTGGCGAAATTCTTGTGACGATGTGTTTAAAGATGGCTACACTTCTGTAGATATGGTTTCCGATATCACTGTAACGACTGCTCAACGTCTGAATTGACACCAAAGACTTGTCCACGGATTGAGTCGTCGGAAACATCTGATCCATTGTATTGACACAATGGGTGCGAAGCTTCTTGAGATCAGCAGATTGTTTGTAATGGTTTAGACATTTTTGACCAGGAACATCTAATATATCTGAACCACACATTCCGACAGCATAGACATTGTTCTGATAATTATATTCTAAGACAATGGGATCTGTAGTGATGGCCGACAATGGGTTGGATGTAATGAAAAGCAAATATTGTATTAGAAATATACACACAATTAGTTGATATACAATAACAGAAACCTTTATAGAGGTTTGCGTCTCCCGTCGCGACAATACAGATCAGGTCTATGTTGTGATCCCTCATAACGTGTGTAATCATTGCACACAAATGGGTATAAGTGGCGACATTTGATGGATTGGCTGTAATGTTGCAGAAATCGATCAGTTCTTCGTAGACCAACGGATATGCCGTAATCGGTGTCCCAAACGCTGTAAACAATGGCAACACATTTAATCGTTGATTAGTGTTAACGTAATTATTATCAATGATTTCATGAAAAATATTTACGCAAATTAAATGATTTTTGAAGAAAATCCAATAAATGGGTCAAATCGTGTGATAAAGTGTAATATCTTTTCGCAATTTTAACAATCCTCTGGTTTTCTTGAGATATGTCCTGAATTCC